ATAAAGCAGTTGCTGATAGCCGAAGTTACTTCGGAAGTCGCTGGGAGCGACTGAGCGATTGATCTTGGGTTTAGTAACCGGTGGGAGTCCGGTAAACCAGTTAATGGCAGATTAGTTGGGACCAGGGTGGTCTCGTTTCATCCAGAAAGCGGACAGGGGATAACAGGATCTTCGGTCGGGGATAGCGATAGGAGAGTTCCTGATGGAGCAGCTAGTTGACCGAGAGGTGCTACGCCACTCACAGCAGGGTTGAATAATCTCAGAGGGAAGGGTTTGATCCTGTTGCGCAGCTCTCGTATGAGTCTAACCGTTGCAGGGATGAATCTTTTACTCGAAGGATTATCTAATCCATTCGCTGGGATGGGTGCTCAGCACTAAGTTATAGCAGTAAGAAGTATTCAGTGTGTACCAGCAGTAGTGACCAGCACTGGGAGTGGCTGGAGCAATGGATACCGTGAAGGGTATGTCCTTCACAGTGAGGAGGTGGTTAATTATGACAAGTTGCCTTGGGAAGGCCAGAAAACGCGCAAGGAAAAGGGGGTGAACCCCTAGGATGTCCAACATAAGTACTCGGGGAGTACCGGAAGGATTGCCAGTTGAGTAAGTTGTGTTCATAGGGCTAACGGGATCAGAGTGCACTTGAGGATTGTTATTTGCAAGGACTAGTGTTATTCTGAATGACCGGGCGGAAGGTCAATAGGAGTGGTCAGCAGGGGTTAGATTCATCAGGCAGGAAGGCTGGAAGCAGATTGCAGGACAGTTGGCCGTAGCGGACTTCGAGGACGAAGTCTAGTTTAAGTGGGGGAGAATTGTAACACCCAGTATCAGAAAGGCCAAGAAAGGAAGGAAAACCCTAAGTTAAAAGGGGGTCAACTCGTCGAGTCCAAGGAAGAACTCGACGAGTCGGAGCGGGATCCGGGTGCAAGATTAAGTGACCGACTCGACGAGTCGGAGAGTGGACTCGGCAAGTTGGGTCTGGGTTAGGAAGCCCTAATTCCGGGACTTGGTGCCCTATTTAAGCATCTTATTCTCTTCCCTAGGGTACATTTATAGCCTCTCTCGTACAGAACCCAAAACCCTAGCCACCCAACTCCATTGTTTGAGCTTTTGAGAAGATTAAGGGCCTTTAGAGTTCATCTTGGAAGCTTGGAGAGAAAGGAGCAAGGAAGGAAGAGTAGATCCAGCCTCCATATCGACTTGGCAACTGCTAGGAGGTAAAAAGTCTGAACCTTGAGCTTTCAATTGATAGATCCCCTTTCAAGCTTGCCTTTTGTCACAATTGGATCATTTCCAAGTGGAATCCAAGTATTAAGCCTTTGAGGATGGATTAGACAACAGATCTGGGAACTCTTGAGCTTTAGAAGCTCAAAGTTGTTGGCTTTATCCAGCTAAGGTCCCATTTCATGACCTAGGCCTTCATTGTAGCTTGGATTAAGTGTTCTAGCCTTATAGCACCTTGCATGCACGTAAAGTTAGCAACTTTACGTGCAATGCTAGCATTAGGAGTCCAGATCTATAAGTTGGAAGTGTTGGAATGGACTGTAATCGACAGAATAGAGATGTCACAAGGTGGACTCGACGAGTTCGTGCTTAGACTCGGCGAGTCGGGTCGCAAACCCAAACCCTTCTGTTATGATTCGGATCAGTGAGTGGAGTTAGTGAAGGATTCAGCCAGACTGGGTCCGTAATGGACATGAAGATCATAGTACTCGACGAGTTCGAGGAGGAACTCGGCGAGTCCAAGACAATCTCCTTAGTTATGAAGATGAACTCGACGAGTTGTTCATACAACTCGGCGATTCATGGTCTAGACATTCATACGATGATGATGAACTCGACGAGTTCAAGGATGAACTCGGCGAGTTGGTTGAAGATAGTCCCGAAGTGTTAAATGAAGGAGAACTCGTCGAGTTCTCGCTAGACTCGACGAGTGGATTCGGGGTTGTTTTGGGATTTGAGGAGCATGGACTCGACGAGTTGGCAGGACAACTCGACGAGTCGAGTCAACTGGAAGGTTGATTTTGACCAGGACTTTGACCTTGAGAAGGACTATGACCAGAGTTGACTTAGTTGACTTCTTGAGGACAGATAGGCTAAGTGTTACTATTATTGGTATTGGTAGCTCGGGGAGCTAGAGGAGCAGCAGTTCGGAGAGTTGTTGGATAGCAGCCAGAGGGATATCAGCAGTTTCAGCAGTACGAGGTGAGTTTCCCTTTGTGTGTATGGGTCTACGGCCACAATGTCGGCCCATGTAGTTATGAGTAGGAAGACCCGGGGGTTAGCCCTAGGCACTGTATGCTAGTATGTTATTCCGGACCAAGGTACGATGTCGGGCGGGTGCCTGAGGAAGGTTATGTGTTTGTTATTCCGGATCAAGATCCGATGTCGGGGTAAGCCCGAGGAAAGTTGCATGTTAGATTATACTCGTTGTCTGTGTGATACTTGTATGTGCCTGGTAGGGAGGTGAGTGTGGGCGAGGTCCCGTATCTTACCATCAACATAGTATGGACGGGGTTCCGTATCTCATTAGTAGCAGAGCAGGGGCGGGGCCCGAGTTAGGGAAAGAGTGAGTGTGGGCTGGGGCCCGTATCTCATTATCAGTAGGAGTGTGGACGGGGTTCCATGACTCATCAGTAGTAGACAGGGGCGGGGCCCAAGACAGGCGAAGCCTTAGATCAGTAATACAATAGAGTACTATAGCTTATGTGTTATGCGATATGTTATATGTTTGTATATGTTTAGCGGGCTAGGCCCAGAGACAGGCGAGGCCCAAAGACAGGCGAGCCTAAGTGAGACAGATCTGTATACCGAGCGGGGCTTGATGTCAGGCGAGGCCTGATGTCGGGCGGGGCCCGATGCCGAAGCGAGTCCGATGTCGGGCTAGTCCCGATGCAGCAGGGGGCGAGGCCCAGTATGTGATTATGTGTATGGTATGTGGTAGGTTGGGGAACTCACTAAGCTTCGTGCTTACGGTTTTCAGTTTTGGTTTCAGCTACTTCCGGTAGCGGAGGGAAGAGCTCGGGATGATCGCATGGCACACACCAAGAAGTTTAGCCTGGGATGTTTACTCTGATTAAATGAACTAGTGATTTGAGATGATGACTTATGATTTTGGATGAATGATTTTATAGTTATGGTTTAATTAATGATTTAAAAATGAACTTTTTGGTCATGATTTTTGGGGATGTTACAACTTATCTGGATTTCGTCCCCGAAATTCAATGTTTGATTATCTTATTAGCTCTATGACTCATAGCCATATGGACTCCATGTCCAACAACATAACCCAACTTCTAGCAAAACTTCCAAAATCGAGAGTTCATCCATCTAAAGCCTCCGAAACTACACTCTAAAACTAACTATCACCTTTTCGATATAAATATTCCCCAGTCCCTTCCACTAGGAACACTGCCATTCACGAAGAAATGAATATCTGAAACATACAACCCTGATTAAATAACTAGTCTCTTATATAGAAAATCATGCCCAAAACTCCTTAAATACATACTTGATTTCCTGACAAGTCATCATTAACTCACTGCTCTTAAGAGCGTAATAAGGGTCAATCCAAAAATCTCGCGTGGCATCCAAACTCCCATGTCAGCTCGGGTGTACATCCACCTGACAAATCATTCAATACATTTACGACAAACTTTATAATCTGAAGTTTCATAACCAATACCCAACACTGATAACCATACTTCTAATAAACAACCCACAAGCAAGTGAGGTTCTGCAAATGCAAACATTCAGCAAGCGACTTCCGATCCACAACTAAGACTTCCAACAAAACAAAATTTTACAATCCACGTGATCTAAACCAGTTGGCCACTGAGCCTCCCGACTCCCTAAAATGTCCTAACACCCAACCGTGTCAATAAGACTAATGATTTGAGACCTAAGAATCTCAATCAAATAACTACCAGGTGGTCCCACCCACATGAGCCATATAATCACTGGCTCACTATTGGCGGTGTATATATTGTTGGTTTTGGTATATGTTTTTTAGAAAAACGAGGGAAGAAGGGTTAGTCGACGGTGTTTCTGAGAGAAAAGAAGTAGTAGCTTGGTGGTGGTGGTGGTACAACGGTGGTGATGAGGGTTTAGAAGGGAGTGGGTTAGGATAAGGTGGGTGGGGTGTGGTTTTTTACTGTATTTTGTATATTGTAGAATTGTAAGAAAAATAAAATAAATCAAAAAGAATAAAAAGGGTAGAATAGTCATTTCATGTCTCACGAAGGATGAAACGTGCAAATTTAAACTAACAAGGGATGACATGTGCAAGTTTTAAACAAATGAGGACGATCTGACTTAATTTTTGAAAATAGAGACAAAACATGTCTTTTGGCACCTGCACGAGGGACGATTCGTGTAATTTATCCTAAAAAAATTATAAAAGAAATTAATAAGGGCATAATAGTCTTTTTATTTCAAACAGGGACAAAACGCGCAACAAAAACGTATAGTGGGGACCTTCTAAGTTAAAAAAAAATAATAATAAAAAAAAATAAAAATAGGGACCAAACGCACAAATTACTTTAAACGACAGAGACCATTCATGTAACTTACTCTAAAAACTAGATAAAGTTACATGGTTAAGAAAACTCAGGGTTTTGATCTCTGTTTTCTTGTGCTTTGTCAACTTTTGGGTTTCGATTTCGATTAGAAGATGATATTGGTTTAGATTTTAATTTAGTAGAAGATTTGGGTTTCAACTTTGATTTAGAACTGGGGTTTGGATTTTAATTTAGAAAGAAGATATGTGTCTTGATTTCGATTTAGAAGAAGATCCGGGTTCTTGGACGACTTGGGTGACATTTGGTTGGGTTGCTGTCTAAATGACATTTGGCTGTGTGATTCTTATAATACCCTTGAAATGACCTTCAATGCCAGCCTAAAAGACTTGAAGGTCCAGGTCCGTATATTGCAAAGTTGAAGGACAAAAAGTATAAATTTAACGAAGCTTACTCATTCCTTTTAATACCCTCACAAACAATATTCGACTGGAAAAAAAGGTTGAGTTGAAGAAAATGGCGTCAAAAAGGTATTCATACTTCAAATCTCTGAAACGTCAGATCTGAAATTTTTGATTTTAAATGTCCTTAATCTTTCTGTTCTTCAACTGCTTAGGATTGCTGTTATTACCGGTGGAAACAAAGGCGTTGGTTTAGAAATATGCAGACAAATAGCTAATGAAGTTGTGGTGGTGTTAACTGCAAGAGACGAGCAGAGGGGCGTCGAAGCCGTCGCCAAATTGCACTCCTACGGTTTACAGGATGTCGTTTTTCATCAGCTCGATGTCACATATCCCTCCAGTATTGCTTCGTTAGCGAATTTCATTGATGCTCGGTTCGGAAAACTCGATATATTGGTGACGGTTTATTCTTCTCGATCGTAGATTCTAACTTTTACGTTTTGGTGGTTTCCATTTCGATACAACTTTTGCCGCAGAGTTAGCCCTTAATTTGAAGTATACAGCAACAATTTTTTAGTATTAGTCAATTAAATCCAGCATAAAAGTATGTTTTACAACTTGAAGAGTAATGGAACAGGTGAACAATGCTGGAATCTCTAGCACTATCGTCGACGAGGAGTCTTTTTGGAGTATAGACCTTCCAAGTGAGGTAAGCTTTGAAGTATATGAAATCCCCCCCAAAAAACATGTAAATGAAGGTTTTACTATGAAATGATTGCCTATACTTCCTTCAATGCTGATATAGGTGCTTGTTGGAAAGCCTAAGCAGTCGAAGAAAGCTGTAACACAAACATTTGAAGGAGCTCAAAAGTGCTTGGAAACCAATTACTATGGAGCTAAACATGTCGCTCAAGCCTTGCTACCACTTCTTCTTAAATCTACATCTCCGAAAATAGTCAACGTCTCATCCAAATTGGGGCAACTAGAAGTAATTGAGCTAACCTCCACCTTAATTTTCCTTATCTTCCTTAATTTGACAGTTTATAAACTTGTCTATATATGGCTGCGCTTCTTAATTTTGTAACAGAACGTACAAGACGAAAATGCAAGGAAGATTCTGAGGTGATGTGGATGGATTGACGGAGGAGGTGGTGGATGAAGTTGTGAGTGAGTATTTGAAGGATGTTAAAGATGAAGAATCGTTGGTGAAGAAAGGGTGGTCAAGTAATGTTTCTGGGTATATCATGTCAAAAGCGGCTCTGAATGCGTACACGAGGATCTTGGCGAAGGAATTTCCATCGATTTCTGCAAATGCGGTGAGTCCTGGTTTTGTTGCGACGGACATGACTTATTTTAAGGGAACTTCCACCGTTGAAGAAGGTGCTAGAGGGCCGGTGAGGCTAGCTTTGATCTCCGATGGTGGTCCATCGGGTCAATACTTTTGGACGACAGAAAAGTCAACATTTTGATACGAAAAGAATCATTGAATTTTCGGGAAGAGAAGTCTGACTTGGATCCGTGTTGGTTTAATAACTTAATATATTATCAAAATAAAACTGGGGAAATAAAATAAGTTGATTGTATTTTATTTTATTACCGTGGGAAGTGGTACGCTCCATGGTAACACGAAACAACCGTATTGTAATAATTTGTACTATGTTATCATAAGAGTTAAGACCATCCGTTAGGCCGTCCGGTATACAGACCATGAACCCGGTCGTGGTCTAGGTGGCCACGGACAACAGCCATGCACACCGCCCCGGCTGATCGTGGTTCGTCGTTTTCGTGATGCATTGTGGTGCCTACGACGAGACGCAACACCCAATCAGGGCTTCTTGACCGATATCCTCTCTCTCAGCCTTCTTCTGTCCCTCCCTTCTTTCTCTCTCTTCGTTCTCACCGGAGAGTACTCCGGTTATGGTGGGGTGGTTCGTGGTTGCTCCGGTGGCCGATCTGGAAGCTCTCCACGACCGTTGTCGTGGAGAGTATAACGGATGGTCTTATATCCACCATTAACCATTATAGTGGTGGGTGTCACGTCATCACCACTAACTACCACTAAACTTATGAGATACCCACCACTAACCACTCTCTACTCCACATCATTTTTGTCTTATATTTATTTCAAAAATACAATAAAATTACATTTTTTTGAAAATAAAAAAAAAACATTGAATTTCTTTTAACTAGTTTTTCATTAATTATAAAAATAAAAATACAACTTCAAATTACATTACTTAATTAACCTAGAATAAAAAAAACATTACATTAACTTAAATAACCTAAATTAAAAAAAAAACATTAAAAAAAACTAATCTTCGTTCATGTTGACTTGGTACAAATGATCCGCGACATCTTCTCGAAGATTCAAAAACACGTTTCGCTGTTATGAATTTCAATAACTAGTGATAAAAAATTCATTCGATCTGAGTACGAACTCTTCAAGCAGGATGACGATGTCGTCCGGATCATACGTGCAAATCGCTCGACCTTGATCTTCAATGATCATATTATGCGTTATAATACATGGTAGAACCATTTTTTTAATTTTTTCCTTATCCCAAAGTCGTGTAGCGTATTTCACTACATGTCATGTCTGCTTGAGGACTCTAAATGCCTTCTCGATATCATTCCTCGTTGATTCCTATCTCTTTGTGAACAACTTTGCATTTTCATTTCGAGGAACCGAATATGCCTTCATAAGTGTAGAATAATTCGGGTATATCCAATCACAAAGTTAGTAACCGTATTTGTACGAATGTTCATTCACCGTGAACGTCATATCAGGTGATTTGTCGGTCCAAAGATCGTTAAAAAGTGGAGACTGGCGAAGAATGTTAATGTCGTTGTTAGACCCCGCGACTCCAAAAAAAGAATGTCATATCCATAAATCCTGAGATGCGACAGCTTCCAAGATTATACTTGGTCCACCTATATCTCCTCGAGTAAATTGACCACGCCATGCATTTGGACATTTTTCCCAAGCCACATGCGTACAATCTAGACTGCCAAGCATACGGAAATCCATGCATCTCTTCATGAGTCGAATATAATCTCTCAATATCACGTGGAGTTGGTTTACGCAAATATTCTTGATGAAAAATCTCATACACACATGCGCAGAACCAATCTACACAATCAATTGCGGTCCTCTCGAATACTTTGAAGAATTCGTCAGATGCATCAAATGCTATATTATGTCTCCAATTACCTAAAATCAGTTCCACACTTTTGTATACTACTAAAACTCATTCTTCCTCTAGCGTCGGGTTTTTGTTTGAAAAAATCATAACGGGCTTCTAAAGCATTACTAATACATAAAAATATAGCCTTATTTAGACGGAAACGACGTTCGAATGCGTCATCATTGTAAAGACAATTAATCGGCGAAGTAATCACGTACCAATAAGTCGTGTGCGGCTTGGCGATCACGATTGACAACCGCCCTTGTACGAGCAACATTCGAACTTTCTTCATCCTGAATGTGTTGCATAACATTGAAGAAGGTCGAGATGAATTCACCGTCATCATCCGAGTCAAAAATTTTAACAATTCCAAATCCTCCATGTGATTTTTGGTTTATAGAATGAGAGTATGTGATGAAATGTGACGGTTTTATTAGATTTATATAGGTATTGAGTTTTTGAAAAAAAATTAAAACTTAAAAAATGATCGTTGAACGGTCAAAATAAAGGAAAATGTTTTGATTCGTCGTTTCACTCCGTCCTCTGGAACACGGAATATCATGACCACGATCGACGACGACTGTCCAGGATGGTGTGCACGGTCGTGGTCGTGGTACACCTCAACCACGGAACCCTCTGTGCAATGTATACCAGATGGCCTAATAGTAGAGCTGGCAATGGGGCAACTTGGTTTGGGTTCGGGTTCAACCCATTTATTAATTGGGTTGAAAATTTCAAACCAACTCAACCTAACCTGTTTATTTAAATAGGTTGATATTTTCAACTCAACCAAACCTTTCAGATAAATGGGTTGTCATCGGGTTGACCCGTTTATATAGTTTTCAACCCAACCTATTAAATAAATTGGTTAAATTTGGGTTGACCCATTTAAAATAAAATTAAATAAATTAATTAACTAAAGATTACACCACTTAAATTAGTTATAGACTTAAATAAAATTTCAAAGTATGACAAAAGCAAAATCTCAATTCATATATATAAAGAAATTGTTCAAATAAAATTAAAGATATGAAATTTCTAAGTAATTTTTTAGAGTGGCTAGTGTTGTCAGTGGCAAGAAAAAATGTAAGAATTAGGATTCCATTTTTTTAAAACATAAATAATAATATAAACATTGTAATTTATAAACTAATACTTAAATTAATACATGATAATATCTAAATATATGTTAAATTAAATATAAATTAAAGTTAAATGGGTTGAAAACGAACTGATAATTTTTATCCGACCCAATATATTTAATTAAATGGGTTTGACGGATTGACCTATTTAACTTAAATTGATTGAAAATCTCAACCCAGCCTATTAATTTTGGGTTGGGTTTGAGTTGGATCGATTTTTGTGATCTCTATCTAATAGTCCATCCCCAATCATCTGACGACTCTTCCGTTCCTTTCTCTCCATCTTTTTTTTTTTTTTTTTTTTTTTTTTACCGACATTCCTTAAATTTTAAGTAAAAATAAGAATCAATAATATTATTTAGATTTTAAGTTTAAAGGTGAAAAATCGTATAACATAATAAATAAATAAAAATAGAAATAAAATATACATTTGGTTTGAGATACAGTTTAATCACATCAAAACTTTGTCACTACTCACCTTGGATAGAAATAAATACAAGAGGTGACGTTAGAAATTCCCTTGGCCACTTCCATTTGTGGGGCCCAACCGCACACCCACATGTCTGCACAAATTTGGCAAATTTGGGGTAGTTTCACCGTGGATTGTGGTCAGAGAACTACGTGTTCAATCGAGAAAGAAAAAAAAAAAACTGGGGTTGATGAGTTGATTCTATATATCTAAAAGATCTCTCATATTCTTCCTCAAATCATTTTTTCCTTCTCCGATCAAATACCCGGCGAACCAGTCTCGTGGATAAAACTTTTTTCATATGTTCATCGTCATATATCTCGGTATACATCCGATACAAAACCAAGTGTGGATTTGAATTCAAAATTTTAATTCGAGTCAGTCATACCAGATAAACTTCAATCCCTTGAGTAAACTTAATTAGTCGAGTATTTGCAGATCAAAATCCATGGAGAAAATCAGTTCAAAAAGGTATATATATCGATCATATACTCATCGAAATACTTCTTAATTGTTTACTACTTGTATTTAAAATAAATGGAAGTTTGATAGTTGTATTTATGTTTGTTAACCGGAGGAAACAAAGGTATTGGACTTGAGATTTGCCGTCAATTGGCCTCAAACGGCGTTACCGTCGTACTAACTGCTAGAAACGAGAATCGAGGTATTGAAGCTATCGAAAATCTCAAAGTCTCTGGCCTTGACGATGTCGTTTATCATCAACTTGACGTGAAAGATCTGATGAGTGTTGGTCGGTTGGCCAAATTCGTCGAATCTCAATTCAAAAAGCTCGATATCTTGGTGAGAGAAAACAAACATTTTTTTCTGTCATTTATGATTGATTTATCATATCAAATTTGATTAAAATTTCAGTTGTGTTAATTTAGGTCAATAATGCAGCTGAAAGTGGAATAATCGTGAAGTATAACGAATTTAGGGTCTTCAAAGATGGAGCAGGATATGTAAGTCATATTGATCGATCATTTATATAAATTATATTGTATTGTATTGTGTTGATTTTACTACAAATAAAACTGGCGTGTATTTGATTTGTATGTTTTGATTAGGAACAAGTGTTTGACGAAAACGCACATCTTTTAACTGGGATTTTGGAACAACCTTACGATTTGGGAGAAGATTGTATGAGAACAAATTACTATGGAACTAAAGGAGTAACCGAAGCGTTTCTTCCACTTCTTCATCTCTCTGATTCACCAAGAATAGTCAACGTTTCTTCTAATTATGGAGAACTACATGTAAGCAATTCACATTTCACAACCAATAATAGTAAGCATGGAAATTTCCACTCTTAGATAAAGTTTCCAATTATCGAGAGCTACATGTAAGCAATTCACAACCACTACTAAAAGTTCATTTGTAATATATTTCTTCACACCCTTGTTTTTATATTAAAATTTCATCTTATACCCTTCTTTTGTTAGTTTCCTAGATATATATAATAGGGTAAAATAGTACAAAAGACATTCAGTTTATATCAAAATTCTAATTTGATACTGTGTTTTCCAATTTGTTACAATTCTGACCACTTGACCGGTTAACCAGGTTACATGCTGACGTGGCATGATGACGTGTCGGTTTTAATGACGTGGTATGCTGACATTATATGCTGACGTGTCAAAATTGATTTTTTTCCATAAAAAACACTAAGTTTTCATTTTTTTCGATTTTGACACGAAGTTTAATTTTTTATTTCAATTTTGACAATATTTTTTTTTGTTCCAAATCGAACATCATTTTTTTCAATATTGACAATTTTCTATTTGAAACCTTATAAATATTTTTTTAATACATTTAAACCGTATAAATACATTTTTTTCAATTAAAAACCATAGTTTTGTATAAATACAATGTTTTTTTTACATTCAAGCCATAATTTATGTATAAATATGTATTGGTTATATAAAAACCGTATTTTATATTAAATACGCAACTTTAAAATGAGTTTGGAGGTTTGGAGGCGTGTAGTCGATCAAAACCCGGATGTCAAGTTTGCAACCCATGAGATTTTTACGTCTTATTAGAAGCTTATGGTTACTTTTGATTCTCATGATATAACTAATGCATATTTATACATTATGCTTTATGCTTTGAATGTAAAAAAAAAAAAAAAAAAAAAAAAAAAAAGACACCTTGTATTTAAATAAATATGTGGTTTTTAAACGAAAAAAATATATATTTATACGTTTTAAAATGTAACAAAAAAAATATATTATACGGTTTCAATGGAAAATGGTCAAAATTGAACAAAATTTGATAAATGATGTTCGATTTGGAAAAAAAAAACATAGTGTCAAAATTGAAAGAAAAAAATTAAACTTAGTGTCAAAATCGAAAAAAATGAAAACTTAGGGTTTTTTGTGGAAAAAAAAATTAAATTTTGACACGTCAGCATATCATGTCAATATGTCACGTCATCAAAACTGACATGTCATCATGCCACGTCAGCTTGTAACCTGGTTGATCGGTCAAGTGGTCAGAATTGTAACAAATTGGAAAACACAGTGTCAATTGAGACAAAAAAAAACACGTGTCACAATTTGTTGGTTGTTGTGTAAACTGAGTGTCTTTTTTGCTATTTATCCTACATAATAAAACCCAAATATTAGTTTTAATTATTTCTATCATTAAAAACTATTAATTGAAATCTTTATAACGAAGACCAATATTAAATATGTTTTTTTTAAGTTAAAACAATTAATTTTTAATTTTATAAAAATGAGACTAATGTTTTTATATTTTTGGTTTATTAGAATATTTTGTTTATATTTTATGATTTTATATAAAATATATATTAGATTAATAAATAAAACAGTAAAATCTATTTATAATTATTTCAAAAGCTCATGGATAGTGAAAATATTTTTATAAGGCCGGACAGAGTGGGAGCGAGGAACGGGCGCGGGGAGCTTCCCGCCTGGCGGAACACCGCACCATCGGTGCAGGGAAGCGATGTGCGGGAAACGGAGAGGGGAGCCTCTCCCGCTCTCTCTCTCTCTCTTGCTGCGATTGGTTGTAATTTCCTTTTTTTTTTGAAATTGAACCGTTATTCAACGGTTAAAAAGTAATTTTTTTTTTGCTGTAACGGCTAATTGTATTTTTTTTTGTTTTTTTTTAAACCTTTTTCCACTCCTATAAATACATACATATTAAACATCAAACATTATTCACACTACCCTCTATTCTCTCTATTTTCTTCTAAAAAAAAATGAATCCCGACAATCAAACCCCAACTTCCAATCGAAGGAAAAAAAAAACCATGGTTCGAGTATAAATTTTAGGTTTAATGTAAGTTTTATTTTAATTAATGAAATGATTTTTATTTTTAATTAAATTTTATGTTTAGTATTAATTTAAAAATTATAATTCATAACAAAAAAATTAATTTTATTTAATAAAAAAAAAGTGAGGGAAGGGCTTTCCACTCATTCCTTGGGTTTTAGGTGGGGGAAAGAAAAGTAAGGGAAATGAGGGTATGGCCCACAAAAAGTGAGGGAAGCTTCCCTCTCACTCCTTCCGGTTTAAGAAGTAAATGTTTATATGTTCTTGATATATGACATAACAAATTTCGATGTTGTAGTAATATGATTATGTACCATTAAGGATATGTTTGGGTTAGCTTTTTTATCTTAAAATTGATTTTTTTTTAAATGTTTATTAGCTTATGGCTTTTACGAAAAACTGATTTTAAAAAGTGTTTGGATAAGAAAAACTTATTTTTCACGAGTAAAATGATTAAAAAGCTAAAAAGCTAGGATTTTCCATCTTTTAAAAATTTTTCTTTTTCCTATCCAAAAAGTTGTTTTAAAAAACGTTTTTTAAATACACAAACATTTTTTTAGCTTATTAACTTTTTGAAAAACTAAAAAGCTAATAAGGTTTTTTTAAAAGCTATCCCAAATACCCACTAAAAAGAGGTCTATTTTTTAAAATGCTCTAACCGACTAAAATTTTCAATTTTATAATAAATAATATATATCTATATATATATATATATATATATTATATATTATATATCTATTATATATATATATATATCTATATATATATATATATATAATGTCATAAATTAGATAGGTTATTTATAGTGTATTAATTTTGTTTTGAATTAAACTATAATATCGTACTAGAATGAAATGAATCTAAGAAGGTATAATACACAAATTAATGGAAGTATGTATCATTACTTTTGTATTTAGCTTTAAAATAAATTAACATGATACGTCTTATTTTTCTTTACTTTTTAGTGGATCCACAATGAGAAGGTGAGAGCAGAGTTTCAAGATATTGACAATCTTACTGAAGAAAGAATTGATGAGATCATCGAATGGTTTTTGAGGGACTTGAAAGACAATAATGTATCGGAAAACGGTTGGCCTTTAACGGTTGCCGCATATAAAGTTTCAAAAGCTGCAGTTAATGGTTACACAAGGCTTTTAGCAAGAAAGTTTGGTAATATTCTTGTGAATTGTGTTCATCCAGGTTATGTGATAACTGATATCACATCTCATACGGGGCACTTGACCCCAGAAGAAGGTGCTAGAGCTCCGGTCATGGTTGCTTTGTTGCCGGATGATGGTCCTTCTGGAGTCTATTTCAATCAAATGAATATATCCTCATTTTGATAATATGAAATGTTTCTAAGAAGTTGATGAAATTTGGTGTTTTCTTTGAATAAATCTAGAAATAATATAAATGATTGGGTTTTAAATGTTGCAATCTATAACTGTATTAAACTCTAATGTTGGGTATAATAAGTATTTGTGTTTGGTATATTTTATTTTAATTTAATTTTACAAAACCATTTTGTCGGTAATTAATTTGGGTTTTTGGTATGCTTTTAGTTTATTTATATTTTAAAAAATAAAGTTCCAATATATTTTTTTCAATTAGGTCAAGAAGTTCACAATTTTTTGCAAATTTAATTAACCGGCCGATTTGTTTCAAGTGTTCGATATTTTTCACTTGTTTACTAGACAAAAAACAAATGTGAGTTCCATTATATCCCGTTGGCAAACATTTGATTTGAGTTAAATTGAACTTTTGTGTAGATCTTTACTCATTTTACCTATTTTTTTCTTCTTTTTCTTCTTTCAGAGCATCACGATTTTGTGCAATGGCTTCTCAATGTCGTCAAGTGGTTCATCATCCGAGAGTGGTGTAACTAACACAATTGAAGGTTGTCCACAGTAACATCTCTCCTAGAGGAAACCATCATTGCCTTGTTTACACCACTTTGAGATCATGGGATGATGAACCACTTGATTGATCTTGAGAAGACATTGCACATAATCGTGTTGCTCTGAAAGAAGAATTTTTTTTTAGGGAAAGTGAGTATATATTTACGTAACGATTTAATTTAACTAAAATTAGTGAAGAATCTCCTCTTTGCGGGGTTTAGAAAAACCAACAATGAAAGTACATTGAGAAACAGAAAGAAAATAATGAAAGTACATTGATATTGTTAAAATAGAAAATAAAAGTAGGATGCCATATCTGACCAAAAATAAAAGTATTTTTCTATGAAAATATTAAAAAAAGAAATAGACACATGTTAATCTGATATTGAGGATACTTTGAAACAGGAACTTCAGCTACAAACAATAGGAAACACATTTAATATATATAAAACCCATACCATAAACAAAATATTGTCTGGAAACCAAAAATATCCTTATTAGTAACTAAGTACATAACTCTTATGGGATAAATATAAAACTATACATTAAAGAAATGCAAGTATGTTGCTATTATGGGTAAAAAAAACTAAAGTAGATTGCCCATTTTAGTAACAATTGGAATGAAACATTTTAAAGAAAAATAGAATAAATAAACTAACCTTATCATGCTTTCGTGACAACCTAACAGGAGGAATAAGATAAATTATATTCATACCTGGATTTGTAACTTGTATAAAAGCTTACATTTCCAGCACCTACAATATTATTTATGAAATCAATGACTTCTAATGTAAGAAGTGGTAATGTACTTTCTAAAATATTCTTATAATAGAATTGTACATTAATTTCTTCTCGTTACACCATTATACTTTCGAATTATTTCTTATTAGGGCATCGTACTTTCAGAATTTTAGCTAATTATAGCAACCGGTAGCCTTCTACCTACCAAACTTGTTAACCAGTTCCTACTATGGATAGGTTTTTCAAAGTACACTGCTCTCTTAAGAAAAAAAGACCAACTATTTCTTGCATTCAATCCAAATTCCACCCATTTGATGTTTTTATATGCATAAATTGACACCTAAATGAAATGAAAGTAATAAATCAATAAATAAGATAATATACCATTAGAGCTCCAGTTTCCTACAAAAAAATCTTCCATATTAGAATCTAAAAGGTTTTTAAATAAATAAGATAATATACCATTAGAGCTCCAGTTTCCTACAAAAAAATCTTCCATATTAGAATCTAAAAGGTTTTTAAAAAATGTAAGCTAAATTTTATTTTTAAAAAAAAACTTACCAGTAGAGGCAAATTAAACTTTTTAACAAATCTAAGACATCCAAAGCAAGCCCCTGAACATGAAGTATAACATCCCAAAATTCAGGACCAAAAATTTCATTCTTATATAATAGAAAAACTCTTAACAACTTTGTTCCGAACATTGAAAACGTTTCATTTAAAATAAATATCACAGTCTAATCCCAGAGATCACATAATATGTAACACCGTAAATTTTCAAGTAAAATTTTCATTTCAAAACACACTAAAACACATGTCACGTTTCCTCAAAATCATAAGTACCAATTTAACAACACATTTTATTTTAAATTGTTTATTCACAAAACCAAGATCCTCCAAAGATAACTCTTTCTCTTGTGTGTACAATCGAGCCGTCGCCTTCCCGATATCATGTAAAGTACCTGAAACACATAACACGGTAAGCACGAAGCTTAGTGAGTTCCCCAAAATACCACACACGACTCATTTGCCACTCGAGGATATATCACTGTAAGCCCCTCCAGTCAATGTGTCTCAGTGGGACCCTTCGGTCCCATAACTCGGGTGGACCCTCCGGTCCTAACTCTGTAAGCTCAACAATATATACAGCATAAATCAAAAAGACATAATGCAGGATATCACAACACTCAATATAAGCACATAAGATACTATGGTCACACATAGATCACTACTCATAGTAAGTGTAGTGAGAAGACTCGCCTCGCAAGCCGCAAGCAAATATCCTCGAACTCGAATCTCGAACTAGCCACTGCCTAACACATAGGGTAAATATCTCTAATTAGTACTCGATTCTCGACTCTAAGTAACCAAATGTTATCCTTCTCTCTCTAACTCATGAATTGGGTAAAAGACTATTTTACCCCTCCATGGTCTCCATTACTCATGTTGACCAAACCCTAAAGTCAACAGAAGTCAAACTCGAGTCAACAGTCCATGTTTGACCCGGCTCGTCGAGTGCACTCTTGCGACTCGTCTAGTCTCCTCGTTTCCTCAGAAGTCTCAAGAAAGTCCAGCTCAACTCGTCGAGTTGACCCCCAACTCGTCGAGTTATAGCACAATCAAACCCACCGGAACAAACCCTCACCGACTCGTCGAGTCAGGCCATGGACTCGGCTAGTCCCTTCAATCAGATTCTCATTCAGAGGATTTAAGCAGATCCATCACTCCAACACTAGAGACTACCATCCTAAGGGTCGATTGTCACGTAAAGCTGCAAGCTTTACATTTAAACATGCATATAAGACTCATAATGCCAATACATGCTCCCACAAGAGGGCACCAACACAATAACTCTTTAGTGGACTGAATAAGCTTGAGCCTTTGGACCCTATGGACCTCACGGTCCAGATCTGAAGTCTAGGCCTAGAAAGGGACTCCATGAACTCATCTCAACAAAAGGTGATAGAAAACCCTATTCAACAAAACATGAGATCTAATCACTACAAGGAGAAAGGTGAGAACTTGTTACCTTCTCCAGAAGCTCTTGGACGAAATAACACTGATCCATTGGCCCCCTTCTTGTTCCTTGATGAATCCTCCCTCTTCTTCAAAGAAATGTACCAAAAGACCCCAAATATTCCTCCTTCTCACACTCTCTAGCTCACAAAAGACGTTAGGGTTTACTCTCAGTGATGGTGAGCCGAAAATGAGGCTATAAGTTCCCTTATATAGGCCCCAACCCCGGGGAAATTAGGGTTTCTTTGCCCAGCACCTACTCGGCGAGTCAGCTCTCTGACTCGTCGAGTCCACTCAGTAATTCCACGTGGCCAACCCGACCCTACTCGGCGAGTTGGACTCACAACTCGTCGAGTCACTCCATAAATCTTCAAATATAACACACATTAATGCATCTAAAAAATCTGGATGTTACAATTCTCCCCCATTTGATTTAGATTTCGCCCTCAAAATCGTTCCTCAACCACACATAGATCGAACCCAATAACCCGAAAAGCACCACTGAAAGGATCTCAAACCACACTGATATCTTTCTCCATGGACACCTGAATCCAAACAGGAACTCCCAAATCCGGAATAAAACCGACCCCTCTGCCGCTACGATACCCCTTCTGACTTTCCAGAATCTGGAAACTCTAGTGGCCTGTCCCACTGCCAGACCGCCCTCTCAATATATCACCATGTTATTCGCTCTTCGAATAACAGACTCCGATAACTCACTGCCCCTCTGATTCTCACTACCGCCCCTCTGATTATCTCGTGGCTACTGGTAGAAACAAGTCAAAGTCCACAATCGGCTACCTATCACTCATACCAGACATACTAAACGATCCATATCACACTCCAAGGAACGAAAGTATTCACATCTCACCAGGGACTCATCCATTGTACTGCTATCAGAACCCAAATGAACAATGAGTTCTCAGTACTCTGTCCTCGGGCATAAAAATAATCATGCTCGCTCAGAAGTGTCCTCTGACATCTAAAATCATAAAACCCCAGCTTCCCCTCCAACCCCACAGTTGAACCTCCAAAGGTTACCTATTGTATGCCCCAAAACGTCTCACTGACTTCCTTCTCACAACAACTATCTCGGCCCATTGTGACACACAAGTCACGAAGTTCGCTTTACCCCAAACGGATACCACAATCCCAACTAAAATCGTCTCACCCTCGACCTCTGTCGCCTACTACTCATTAGTTACATGCGCCTCGCGGTCCTCCCCATACAAACGAACTGACCCACTCAGGTCTAAGACATCAGAAGACATCCAATACTCCTCAAAATGATACTCATCTCTGAATCTGGAATCTCATTTGCCTGCTCAATTCACCACCCAAGCCAACTCAAACTCAAGCGTCTGGTCCGACACAGAATTGGAACCACTCGTTCCAATAAGGCACTCAACTCATGACCCATGACCCGCAACCCACGCGTACATCACTTCTCCAATTCCTTCGATTGCGATAATCACAACTCGACTCAGAATATAACGATTCCCGACAATTATGGAGACCCCAGTCTCGCCCCTGATCCAACCACCAGGTTCCCAAAACTCAAGGAATAAGGCTACCCAAGCCTAAAACTCTTCCGCGTCATGCTCTGCCTGGCGAATAATACGGCTCCCCGTAGTATCATAACATTCCCTCTCACTAACCCGCAAATACTACGGCTCCCCGCAGTACCACGACACTCTCTCACTAAATAGCGAATACTACGGCTCCCCGCAGTATCACAGCACTCTCCCTCTATCCAATGAATACTACGGCTCCCTGCAGTATCACGATACTCTCTCGTTGACTAGTGAGTACTACGGCTCCCCGTAGTACCACGATACTCTCTCGCTCACTGGATCACCATGGGCTCACTCCATAA